CATCCAGAGTGATCATGGGCCTCTTGGCTGCATCTCTGATCAGTCTTCTCCTTGTTTGAGATGAAAGTTTGGAGGGACGGCCGGGTCTTGGTAGATTTGCAGTGGTCTAATACTCCTTCCATTTCGATATAATTGCTTGCACAGTGCTCCTTGAGTTGCTTTCAGTTGTATGCACAGATTTTGATAGTTTGGTTATTACAGGTGATTTTAATATTCATGTGGATAATGTTGATGACAGAAATGCAAATGAGCTGAGTTCTGTACTTGAATCCTTTGATCTCACTCAGCACGTAAGTGGCCCCACCCACAGCAGAGGGCACACTCTAGATCTGTTAGTTACTAAGGGGGTGAATATTTCAAATGTAAACGTGGTCGATGTTGCTCTTTCGGATCATTTCTGTGTTTTTTTTGACATGTGTTTCACTAACAAACCACCAGTGGACTCTGCAACTGTTCGAAGAAGTCGCATAAATGAAAATACGAGTGAACTATTTATGGGAATGATAAACTTTGAGCATGCATCGTATTCTACTGTAGATGAACTGTTTAACTCTGTCACTTCTAGTGTTTTGAATGTTCTGGATACCGTTGCCCCTGTGAAGGTTAAAATAGTGAAAAATAAGCAGAAGGCGCCGTGGGCTAAAGCAGACTCGGTCAGGGCACAAAAGAGAAAGTGCCGGAGGGCCGAGCGGAAGTGGCGCAAGGTCCCAACCTCCAGGTTGATTACGAGATCTTCAAAGATAAGTTGTGCGAGTTTAACCAGACAATGGATCATTCAAATATCCTGCACGAACTTGCTGTACTGAGTTTGCTGCAATGAAAGTAAAGGGGCCGAAATAATATTGCACGCCCCAGTTTTTTTGTGTTTTTTTTTGTTTTTTGTGTGTGTGAGTGGTGTGTGTTTGTTTTTTTTTTTTTTTTGATTTTTTTTTTTTTTTTTGTTGTTGTTTTTTGTTGGTTTGGTGTGTTGTGTGTGTGTGTTTTTTTTTTTTGTTTTTTTTTTTTTGTGGTGTTGTGTGTGTGTGGTGTGTGGTGTGTGGTGTGTGTGTGTGTTTGTTTTTTTTTTTTTTTGTGTGTGGTTGTGTGTGTGTGTGTGTGTTGTGTGTTTTGTGGGTGGTTTGGTGGGGGTGGTGTTGTGTTTTTGTTGTTGTTGGTGTGGTGGTGGGTGTTGTTTTGTGTGTGTTGTGTTGTTTTGTTTTCAGTTTTTTATTTGTTAAAAAAGTTGAAATTATCCAATAAATTTCGTTCCACTTCACGATTGTGTCGCACTTGTTGTTGATTCATGACAAAAAATTAAAATTTTATATCTTTATGTTTGAAGCCTGAAATTGATGTCATAATGTATGTATTAATGTATATTACTCCCTCAATAATTAGCTTAAAGGGGTGGGCCATTACTTTCATTATCATAGAGGGCCAGAGCAGCTTTTTTGCACTTACCATTTATTTTGACTGAACATATTTGCTATTTTCTAATGATACGATCAGTTATCATCAAATGCAACAGAAATGTATTTATATATGAAAAGAAGAGGGAAACATGCCAAGATATCCAGTGTTTTTGTCTGTAATAAGTAAGTTAGTAAGAAAGTAAGTAACATTTATTTATATAGCGCATTTTACAGACCAAGGTCACCCAAAGCGTTTTACAATGTTCAGACTTCAGGTATTTTTCCATTCTCTCTGAACAAACTGGCATAAAAGCCCCAACAAACACCATCCATTCACTCACTCATTACATTCAGACCTACTGTATATGTTTATAGTGGTAGGGGAAACCGGAGCACCTGGAGGAAACTGGAGCAGACGCAGAAAGGCCTGGAGGTGGAATTCAACCAGGACCTTCTTGCTGTGAAACACAAGCTATTACCAGTGCTTTTGCATCTATGGATTTAAAAACAATGTATTTTTTGAAACCTAATTAGAAAATGAGAGGTAGAGTGCAATTATGCTTGGATTGAAGCACAATTGGATCAAAGGTAAAACAGGGTGAGTACTGACTGATTAGAGCTAACAGAAGGATGTAGCACACATTAAGTTGCAAACCTTGATTGGGTTTTCACTCCCACTCATTAAAATGGAGGCAAAATATACAATATGAGGTAAAGAGATGGAAATTGTCCGGGCTGCATTAAGCGTCACGTTACTGCGCTGGCTTTCATCACACAAAGTCAATATAATTTCACATAATTTCGGCGTTTCCCATGTTGAAGTGGGGCATTTGAAGTGGAGCGAGAGCCGAGTATCATCTGTCATCGCTGTGGCAGCCAGAGCCACAATGTGTTTATGTCCAACGTCTTTTTATTGTCTCTCATGGACAGCTCGGCTTTCATCTTTACCGCCATTTTCTTTACCGGTTTATTTTGAGCCTTGAGTTATCTTGGTCAATAATCATCCACCCCTGTTATTTTACCCAAGGTCATTTTGAAAATAGAAGGGCAATTTGCTCTGGACATTGTAATCATATGTACCTTGCTCCGTAGCCTGGCTCGTTCATTTAATTTTACAAACATGACATTCTAGCCTCACATCTTTGCGCTGGTAAAGAGCTGCAGAGCATAAACATGGCCAATAACACATAATAAGCAGCAGCAGCAGGAAATGCCAGAGCAGTGCTTGTTGTCATCACTTAAGGCTTAATAAGAGGAAACAATGATTCTCTACGGAGCGACCACTCTAACAGACTAGATCCAGTAGCTCTCACTCAGCGGGATATTATAAAGGTCAAGGCCTGTTACTTCCATTCAGTACTAGAGTCGCTGATGTCCAATAATAATTAAATGTAATAAAGGCAGATAGAGGCTCTCAATTGGGTTGCCAGTTTGCCAGAGCCAAGACCAACTGAAATTGGTTGCATCTTAGAGACTTTTGATGATTTCAAGTCCCAACTTAAGACCTGTTTGTTTTGGCTTTCTCGCCTCACTGTACACAGGCCTCTGAACTGTGTTTATGATGAGGACCGTCTTCTGTGTCTCTGTTTTTAAATCTGACTTGTTTGTGTATTTTTAATGTGTTTTAAATGTGAAGCGCTTTGTGATCCTGGTCTGTGAAAGGTGCTATACAATAAACTCAACTTACTTAAATTAAACCAGGTACAGAAATAAGTAGATACATAACACACTAAGTTTGTAATGTTTCTTGCTGAACCCTAGTAGGTGGATTGCATCAGTACTTAGGAGCCACTTTTGTCACAGGCAGGAAGATTCTGGCAACAAAAGTTGGATTGTAATGGTATAGACTTAATTAGTGCATTTTACGTACTGCCCCTTTAAATAAAACATTTGGATCATTTTTGTAGCATTAGTTTCCATAGTAATAAAATAAGAATTGAAGTTGAGAAAATCAGAAATCCTATTCAGAATACTGGATGTGTTTATAATTCCTGGCATTTTGGTGGAATTGTTTGTGTCTATTGCTAATCAATGACGGTTGATGTATAGTAGGAGTATATTGATCTCACTGCAGTTTCTGTTTTTTCCTGTCGAGAACATTTGAGCCATGAACATTGCAGATTGTTAAGTTTAGTGAACTTATGGTACGCTTCAGTTGTAATTTTGAATTATTTCAGTTGAATTTTTTTTGATAATTCAGGCTACAATATAATCATAGAAATAGAAAATAATTGTAAAAATGTTTTTGTGTTTTAATTCAAATCTCACTTTTTCATTCAGTACAATAGAATGTTTTCAGTTGCTGTATGTGTAGCTAATAAGTCCATTTTTTTTTTTTTTAAATAGTTCAATGCTGAGTATAAACATCATGACGTATGAATACAAAACTCAGTTAAAAACACACCAATATTTACAACTCTATTATTATTTTACTGAAACCCTTTCAAGAGGTTTCTTTATAGATGTGATGAGGAAAAAAAAGAAGGTGAAGCCCTGGAGTAGGAGACGTAGCACTACTGAAGTCAATTATAGAAATGAATACAAGAAAAATATGTAATAATATGGAAACGTTTGTATGAAACCAGGTCGCTGTATAGACAACGCCCTGTAGTCAGCTGCTGTCCTCTGGGGCTGGAGGAAGAGGTGAGTTTTTAACTGTTTTAGTTAAGTGAGTCCGAGTTTCTGAGGTGATTGGGGAGAAAGTTCCAGAGAGTGGAATCAGAGATGGTGAAAGTAGTAAAAATCTCATCAACATCAACCAAAATCATTTTAGTACGTGTTTTTGCGTTTTACATAAACTGGTCGAGCTTCAAGGCCGCGGTCGGAGCTGGATGCAGCCACTGTGGTTTTCAGTCAGTCCCATGTGTCACTAGTGATGGGTCAATGTTACTGATCGGTTGCCCCGGGCGATGGGTGGCTGTGCGGCGGGAAGGTCACGGTGTCCTCTGAACCGGGAGCATATAAAGGCTGGAGCCGTGTGTTTCGCTTCCAGCTGCTTTGGGCGCGAGGCGGACCACATGACGGCACCAGACAGGACTTTTGGTTACAGGTGAGACAGGTCAGATTATGGTCAGATTATGGTCAGATTATGGTCACGGTGAGGATTACGTGAGAGGGTAGAGTGTGCGGTAAATGGTCTTCTATTGATGAGTTACTGAGGGAATAGTAATTGTAACTTTCCTATTCAATACAGCTCTTAATGTTGTTTAAACTCCTACATAAACTAGTATATATTGCTCTACACAGTTTACAAAGATGCATTGTTTATATTGATCTCGAAGCTTTCGTTGAGCCAAAATCAAACAGGCCAATGACAATCACAAGCGTCCTCCATCAGTGTTTGCATTTTTACATTAGGTTTTATAATTGGATTTAAGGCGTGGTGTCAGCTGCTTCGTTTTACTTGTCGTATTCCTGCTGATTCTGCATTTTACACACAGACAGATTATGAGTATTCTTGGAGCAAACGGCTGTTTTAGTTGAGAACAGTGAGAGCCCTGCTGCCTGAAGCAACTGGATCGTTCATTTTCTAATGGTCATGTTTCATCTTCTTCCACCTGTACTTCCTCTGTATGTGTCGCCTCTGTGGTCAGTCTGTGAGTGTTGGAGATGGAGGAGTACCCCGGTCCCCCCAGTGACTTTGCATCAGACGACAGAGACTCAGGTTTCATTCCCCCTCACAATCATCAGGGAGATTATGATGACCCACAGGTACAGGGTGCATGACATAACTATAAAAAACTATTTGAAAAAAGGCAATAAACACTAGTTGCCACTTAAACAGACTGGATAAAGCTTTATAAACATAATCTATGGTTGAATACTAATAATACTGTATAATACTGTGTTCATCCTTATAAATGCATATTTTGTATATAATTAGTCAAAGTTATGAATCTTATTTGACATACTGTATTTGTAAAAAGCAAAAGTCCAGCTCCTAATGTATATGTCATTATTATAATATGATACAAGCATTAATATCCAATTATAAACAGAACATAACTACAAAAGAGTCGTATCTAATATAATAGCTAGTATTTCAATACTTTGAAATTCATAATAAGTTTCTGATGAATGTCCAAACCATCTCCCCTCCTCCCCCCTCTCCCTCTCCATGGTCCGTTGTTTCTCGCCTCCATCCTCTTCGCCCTGTTTACCTCCAGCACTGGAGTCATTCTGATGACTCTGAGGTGGAGCACATTATGCAGGAGTCCCCTCTGCCAGAGCCTCTGCAGGCCCCTGGCTCTCCTGGCTCTCCTGGGGTGCGCAGTCATGTGGTTGGTGAATATCCTGCCAGTCCATCACTGCTGCGCCCCCCTGTGGCAGGCAGTGCTCAGTCAGACTCCAGCTCAGAGGCCACTGGCTCACGGTGCAGGAGTGTGGAGTTTGACCTGTCGTCTCCGGTCAGTCCGTCCAGACCCAAGAGCCCCTGGGGCCTGTTTGACCCCTATGAAAACTCTGAGGTAAAGGAGGACTCTGTAGGAGGGGCTTACGTCGTCACAACTGATGTTTTTCCACATAATGTTTGCATATTTTTCTTGTACCAACGTGTGTTGTTGTGAAACATACTGTGCTGGCATTTCCATATGACTGGACTGTTTACCTTTTGTTGAAAGCTCTACATTTACCATTGTGTATGTTTTGTTGAAAAAGTGTTCAATTATTGTGTCTGAGTTGTTGGATGGACAGAAATATGACAATCATTTGTGTTGTTGGTTTTGGGAAAGTGGGGGACGAGTTGAAAGAGAAATGCGCTATCAAATAGTTTCTTCATCTTTATTCATAAAAAGGGAATAGTATGGAGCGTATGATAAACACACTCTGATAAAGATCTTTGGGTGTCCTGCACTACGAAGCCAGTGTCATATTAGAAATACATCGAGCAGCTTTAACACTCTAACACTCTAATTGACGCTTGATTCTTTACATTGTCATTTTATTTTTTATAGGATCAAGACAAGGAATATGTTGGTTTTGCCACTCTCCCAAACCAAGTTCACAGGAAGTCTGTTAAGAAAGGATTTGACTTCACTCTCATGGTGGCAGGTAGAACATATCATCTCACAGATACTTTTGTTCTGTAGGTTTTGGAACAAGACCTGATACATATTTTTTTTTTTTTAGGTGAATCTGGGCTGGGTAAGTCCACCCTGGTCAATAGCCTATTTCTAACAGACTTATACAAAGACAGGAAACTGCTCAATGCTGAAGGTGAGGAATCCATTGAGAGAAATATTTGTTTGATTTTTCCACCATAAATGAGATGACGTGTATTGCTTGATTAGAGAGAATCACACAGACTGTGGAGATCACCAAACACACTGTGGACATCGAGGAGAAAGGAGTCAAACTCAAGCTGACTATTGTGGACACTCCGGGCTTTGGAGATGCTGTTAATAACACTGAATGGTATGAGTTTAGTGAAAGCATAGTCTTCACACAGTCTATGTATAAATGAGAGTGACTTGTACGTTTTGCACTAGTTGGAAGTCTGTGGCAGACTACATCGACCAGCAGTTTGAGCAGTACTTCAGGGACGAGAGCGGACTCAACCGCAAGAACATCCAGGACAACCGTGTGCACTGCTGCCTCTACTTCATCTCTCCTTTCGGCCATGGGTAAAGCTCTGCTTAGTCACAATACACTTAGTCCAGAGAACGGGTGCATTTATCAGAAATAACTGTCTTGTCTAATTTCTATGTTGGGGTCTTGAAAATACGTATATTACTGCTTTGAAAGTCTCAAACCAAGGTTAATCCATTGTAGTGTTTCTTAATTGTATTATGTCTAATATTATAGACAGCAGTGTGCATTACAGACAACACAAGAAAACAAGACCTGAAAAACCTCTCGCTCACACAGAGGGTGTATCAGTCTGTTACTGCCCTGCAGGGGGCGAGAAGCCATGGCCCAGCATACCATAAAAGTTAGTTCATCCAGGACCCTCCTGTCCCCATCTGAAGGGTCAACAAAACATACTCCTGAATACCAATGTCCCCAACACCCAGCAACGGGGGACAGAAAAAACAATTAAATCAAAAATACACACATAAATAAATGAGAAAGAATTATATATATAATATAGTAAAATATAAAATAAGTAGGTTTCACTGTAAAAGACAATGAAACATTTCCCCTGCTTCACTTTAGATGATTAATCTGTATTTTATCAGAAGATAGAATGCCCACTGTTATCAGACGGCTCCCTCTGTTGGCCGGCAACAGGCATCTTACTAATTTAATGTGGAAAACATACAACTCTATGGAGAGTGTTTTTATCCAAATGTAGATCAAACATTGTTTTGTATGTTCCAGTCTTCGTCCTCTTGATGTGGAGTTTATGAAAGCTCTTCATGAAAAGGTGAATATTGTGCCAGTTTTAGCAAAAGCAGACACGCTCACCCCCATTGAGGTCAAGAAAAAGAAAATGAAGGTAGAGCATTCGTTTTTCAGTGCGTTTTACAGTATACAGAATGTATTTGAATACATTTTCCTGTTACAGATCAGAGAAGAAATTGAACAATATGGGATTCAAATCTACCAGTTCCCAGACTGTGACTCAGATGAAGACGAGGACTTTAAACAGCAGGACCTTGAACTAAAGGTGTGAGTCCAGATCCAGCCACCAGTACTACTACTGTCCATGCATCATCTTATAACAGTTTACCTCTGCACGTAGGACAGTATTCCTTTTGCTGTAATAGGCAGCAACACTGTTGTGGAGGCCAAAGGCAAGAGGGTCAGAGGTCGCCTGTATCCTTGGGGTATTGTTGAAGGTGAGATCAAAAGTTTGCTTAATACTGACATGCTACATGCTGTAGCTTATTGCGAATTTGTTTTACAGTTGAGAATTCTGCCCACTGTGACTTTGTAAAGCTGCGTAACATGCTTGTCCGCACACACATGGAAGACTTCAAAGATGTGACCCGAGAGACGCACTATGAGAACTACAGGGCCCACTGCATCCAGAGCATGACCCGCCGAGTAGTGAAGGAGCGCAACCGCAAGTATGTTGGCTTATTTATACATACAAGTATTACGATTCATCTGCAATAATCATCCATCAGATAAGTCGTCTGTTTCATTTTTTTACAGTAAGCTTACCCGGGAGAGCGGCACAGACTTCCCCATCCCTGCAGTGTCCGGGGTCCCAGACAGCGACACCGAAAAACTCATTCGAGAGAAAGACGAGGAGGTACAACAATCAAAAACTGAGTCTGAGCCCCAGAATGATCCACAATGTGAACATAAAGCAGAGGCCCCAGAGCTGCAGCCCAACGCCCAGGCTGACCATGGGGGACACCATGGGGGACACCATGAGGGAGACCACAGCACTGACCAAGTCCTTTGACTTCCACATGTCTCCTTTTGATACATGCACTCAAATATATTTATTTATAGTTTATTCATACATTTGTATTTATGCCAATGACCGTCCCCAAAACCTTTGTCCCCATAGTTGTAAAATACTTTTATTTCTATTTATTTTATATGATTTTATTTGTAATACTTAAACGCTCTTAATGTTGATATGTAGCATTTGTTGAGTTTGTTGACTGAGAACGCCAAATGTATAAAATCTCCCTGTTCCCTTATCAAACCTAAATCCAGATCCCAAACCAATCCCTAAATGTGAATTTAGTCAATAAAATAATACATTTTTAATATTGTTTTCTCCTCTGTTTGGAAAAAAGGTCATAATATAATATAATATAATGTATTATAATATGGACCAATACATAAATCACAACTAACATTTATGTATTTATCCATGAGCCATTTCACATATTTACATAACACAACTTTTGAAGCATATCTCATGGTACGTCCACTTTGTAGTTTTAGCTTTAGCAAACATTTGACATTATATTCATGAAGGAAAAGTCCTTAAAAAGATATTTGAACTAATATGAGTGTCTCCTCGTGTTGTGTTTCCAGTTGCGGCGGATGCAGGAGATGCTGCAGAAGATTCAGGACCAAATGCACACTCAGAACTATTGACTGTTGGAAGAGTCTGCTGCACAGACTGACGGAAGTCACACACACAAGTCAACAGCAGCAGCTTTCTTCTCCTCAAATGTTACACCAATCACACATTACAGAAACATAGTCTTTTGTGAAGTTCACTTAAGCAACACAACATTTATTTTTTGCAGCCAGAATCAGTGTAAAATCTGCAAAAAGGGATTATCTTTTTTATGTTCTCATAGGCGGGTTACTGTTACGGAGGAAGGTGCCAAAACAATATTATATATTTACTTTTGTGAGGATGTGAGCAGTGGAAACGTGTCCATGAGGAGTAAATTTCAAATAATACAAAGTGATGGTGCAGATTCTACAGGTTTTAGTTTATCACTTTCTTTGGAACAGCATATCTACTAAGGTTTACATTGTACTGTTAATTAACTCGAGCTAAAAGCACATTTTTCTTGTGCAACTATTTTTTTATAACTGCATTGAATGCAACATGTTTTTGGTTACATGTTTACTCCTTCTGTTATTTAAGCACTCTACATTTGCTGATTTAAAAGATCTTAGTTATCTTCTAGTCCTTTTTCTTTGTCAACAGTTGACGTTAAACTGTTTTGCTTCCATCGCAGCCGGACTGATGAAACATAAATGAAGTGATCTGACAAAACCCGTTATTGTCACAAACTGTGGTGTCACTAAAAGGGTTGAAATACGTCTGTTTGTCCCATTTTCTGTTTTTTTTAAATTGACTTTTTTGCTAAACCTTTCTTTCTCTGTACATTTTATTGAGTATAACTTGTACATAATGGCCAGTTTAAACTCAGATGATGTAGCCAATAATACAAGTCTAATTGTTTCTGTACATTCCATCATGTGTTTGCAGAATTCATATTTTTGGTTGGTTTTATATTTAATGTGGCTTTTGTTATGCAATGGTATATTTATGAAGAAAATATAATTTAGATATGAACTGTGAGGACATGTATAACCGTTATTGTAATAAAGCTAAAGCTGTTACAATTTGAGTGCACACTTATTTCCCAATGGAAAGCTACAATGTGCTGTGATTGAAGACTGGTGAATACATATTCACCAGTCTTCAATCACAGCACATCTGTGGAGATGGGCAGCTCTCAAGGACCATTACTTAAAGTACCAATATGTAATATTTTCATGTCAAGTCATCATTAAATGGCTCTAATATGTCTAAAGGCGTTGATAAACCATGCTCTTCTTTAACTGATAACAGTTCAGTCGAGACATTGTTTTCATTTCTATGTCCCGCCCGCCACCGTTTTACCAATCAAAGTCCACGATCCGTGCGCCAGACCTCGAGATAATCTCACTGGTAAAGTAACATTAATGAAAAAGGTGTTGGTCTTAGATTTGTTGCTGACAAAACACCTGTCAAGTTTTTATATAGTGCTTTTTTTGGAACCCAAGGCGTCGTTCATGCACTCCTACACGGTCATTAACTACTATCTTAGCACAGCTACCCAGGGGCAGGCTGACAGAAGCGGGACAATCAGTATGCGCCATTGGCCCATACACACACCAGACTCATACTAAGCAATGTGGGTGAAGTGTCTTGACATGACTGACACTTAATACATATTCAACACTTAAACATTGTGACCCGTATACAGTTGCATTGCGATTGAATCAAGTCCGTGATCTCTGAAAAACAGTACTTCAACTCGTACCTTTGATCATTTTGAAATGTATTTATTTACAATACAAAGTTCTAACAGCATATCATGATCTTCAGAGAATACATATATAGATCTAAATGTAGTTCACCTTAAACTTTCACCATAGGGAAAACAAATATTGTTGCCATTTCAAGAATCACAATGCCTCGTTTCAACATTCTCTTACGTCACACTTTCACATCTGAATACTAAACATCTAAATCATCACCAAGAGCACTTGATGTGGTCCCAAAATGCTGAACAAGGTAAAGCTGCAGATGAAACGGGCAACAATGTAATATGCTGAATCTGTTACAATTATAACAAGTGGCATAATGTATCAATAATCTATAGTATTTCTGAAAAACAAAATCATATATAAAACGTGCCAACAATACATTCTGATTAAATCGGTAGATAAACTAGCAGAGATCATTGCTAAATGTTCACGTTAACTGCTTTATACTAAACAGATATCACAGTGCATCCTGGAACTAGATTTGTGTTCTTTCCCCAGAGCCATAGACCACAGCAGAGGGAGAAGTTCATTAACATAAAGTCCTCATGTACCCTGACTTAAATACATACACCTTACATGACAGCACAGACATTCAGTACGTGCCCACATAAACCATCTGATGAGCTGAACAACTTTTGCATTTTGTCAGCATTGGGGATAGAAAAAGGGCTAATAGGGTTATAGCAGCATAAACATGAATTTCACCCTCAGCTTTAAGCGCACTGGCAAGTTAATGACAAACGTCCATTGATTGTCATTTCTGTTTCTCTAATAGTATTTATTAATTTGCCTGTAAGTTAATTTGCCTTCACAGAAGTACTTCAGTATTTTACAATATGACTAGGCAGCAGGGGGCGCCACCTCATAGGTTCACAGTCTAAATCCCGTGCACTTTACTCTGATTTCTCGTGAACCATCTCCACTTGAATAGCTATCCTAAATCACATCATGCACCGTATACGCAATTACAAATAAAAAAAATAAAGGCCAACGAGAGGTGTATCTAGTCCAAGCAGGTGGACCAAACCAATGTTGCAGAACGTTTATGGCCAGAGACATGAGGTTGTATATTCTTAATGCTGTTGCTAGTACAGGAGGGGGGAGAAGGCTTTTTGTGGTTTCTGATTGGCGAATGCTTTGGGGACACTTCACTGCAAAGACTAGAGATGTCCCAATGTCAAATTGATGTGATTGTTTCTGTGTGCAAACTGCAGAAATGCCATTTAGTTTTACTCACATTCCAAATAGATTAATATTCATCCAGGTCGTAAACCAGCTTTATGGAAACCAACATCATGAATGATGAATGGTTTTACTTTTTAATGGTAAAACATTTTTAATTCAGAGATTCTCTTTTGTTTCTAATGAATGTTTGGTCACTTAAATAACCACAAATGTTACTTTATCAAATAATGTTACATCTGCAGTAAGTCTGCTCTCCTGCTCCATGTTAGCTCAATCCTACACTGCAGCCTTGAATATCAAGCCAGTTTCAGAGTACTTATGGGGAACGAGGGCATGGTCACCATTGTCACTGGATTGAGGACAGTCTGACCGACAAGCTGCGTGTGATGAGTGACCATTTGGGCGCCCATAGTCGTCTGTTTCCCCACTAACGCAGCGCCAGTGCCCGCCGCGGGGCCACCGAGCTGGGGGTGGGCATGGGTCAGTGTGTGGGTGATGTGACCTACAATGCCGGACTGCGTGATGGCTACTGGCTGAGAGTACAGGGTGGGCAGGTGGGCGACCGGGTGCACGGTGATGTGACCGATGTGCTGCTGAGCTGGAGTCAAATGCATCGGCCCACCGCACGTCGACGGGGCCAAACTGGGGATGTGTTTGGGACTCTGGATGAGGTGGTTTAGCGTCTGGATGACCGAGGGGTGGGACACCGACGAGTGGGCTATCACGGTGGGGTGCAGTGCAGGGGTGGGTCCCGTGGAGTTGTGTGTGGATGTCACTGTCGGTGTGGGTTGGATTGGCGGTCGCGGGGGCGGTCGTGTAGGTGATGCTTTCTGCTGGACGATGCACAGACTGGAGATCACAGCGGGCTTCTCTGGAGGAGCGACGGCTTTTGGTAGCTCTGGTTTAGTGGCACTTGGGGCAGGGGGAGGCGGGCTCTGCTCCAGCTCCATCTCATCGTCAAGTTCATCTATAATGTCTTCCCCCTCTGCAATAGAAAACAGCAGGTTACAATCCTTCTTTGCTTTAAATTTACAAGTACACATTGTTTGTAGATTCAAGGCTGACCTGATGCAGTGGATGTGGAGGCCTGGTCCTCCTCGGGCTGCACAGTTTGCCTGAGGGCACGGTCGATCTCCACCACATCCATAAACTGGCTCAGATCGTTCTTCAGCTCTGCCAGCCGCTGCTGCGTGGCGATCTTTTCCCTGGCCAGACGTTCCATGTCATGCTCATATTCCTTCTCCTTGCGTTTCAATGTCTAAAAAGAGACATTTAGAATTAATTTACATCTGTGTGAGAGGACTCATTAGATTGGAATAAGCTTTTTTGTTGTTGAAAATAACAAAATGAAGGAAATAAACAGTCACGTGCCTTAAAAACAGCAGTAAGTTTAGAATCACACTGGAGGGGGAGGGGCCAAGTCAAGGAGGTAGCTATCTGACCTAATTTCCCTTGACCTGTCAGCTGACACAGGACATGACTAAAGCCACTCTTCCATGAAAAGCCAGAGTAAAAGTGTCAAAGCAAATTAAACATCGCACATCAATGCCCTAAACCATGAGCACATTGACGGACACAGCAGACACACAGTTGTTCATAGATATATTCAAAATGGCCCAAGCATCATTGATATAAATATTTAACCACGGGTTTTTCAGAGATTTGATGTGAAACAGACAAAAAGGTGGAGCCCTGAAACAGGAAATAAAATATAGAGGACCACTAGAATCATGAACAGAAATAAATAGTAAAATGTTTGGAAATGTTTTATAGATGCCAGGTTGCTGTATACAAAGTGTCCTAGATTAAAGAGATCATGTTGCAAAGGTCTATGTTCATGATATTGTGATTTGACAAAAGTAAAAAGTTTGAGACATAAGAAATCATAATAAATAAATAAAATTCAACTAGGGCTGGGCGATATGGCAAAAAAAAAAAAATCTCCGATTTTTTCACACCAAATCCGATTTTCGATTTTAATCGATTTATTTTTTTCTATTTAAAAACAAACTACAACTGACAAAGAAATAGATTTTCCTTTATGCAGTTCAATCTAAATCCCCATGGAGCATAAGTGTAACAGGAATTAAGCCTTAAAACATGCTTGTAAACGGGATGGCTCTGCCATTGTAAACAGTGAAAATGTAGCTTAACAGTTTTATAATAACTTACAATGACACTATGCACCTTCAAAATAACTTAAATCACACAAACAAGGCCCATCGCAAATATATCAATCCTATTAAACACATGCATTATTTACATGAAATATCACATTTTTAAAACTGATTACTCAAAATAGAAATGTTGTAACAGACAGTCTTTTCCAAAAGCCTCCTCGGGTTTTCATGCTCGTTCTTTCAACTGTGCCTGAGTAACTGTGCTGTAGTACAACGCTCGGTCCAGCTGGTGGCGCTAATACTAACTTCAGTGACTCCCGCATTGTGCGAGCTTCCTGTTTACATTCTGATGCTGTAGCTAACAGGTACTGTAGCAGCTACTGTAGCTAACAGCTACTGTAGCAGCTACTGTAGCAGCTACTGTAGCTAACAGCTACTGTAGCAGCTACTGTAGCTAACAGCTACTGTAGCAGCTACTGTAGCAGCTACTGTAGCTAACAGGTACTGTAGCAGCTACTGTAGCTAACAGCTACTGTAGCAGCTACTGTAGCAGCTACTGTAGCTAACAGCTACTGTAGCAGCTACTGTAGCAGCTACTGTAGCTAACAGCTACTGTAGCAGCTACTGTAGCTAACAGCTACTGTAGCAGCTACTGTAGCTAGCAGACAGCGGGGAACACGTTGTTTGTATCAGAGCAATGAGAGCAATGTGTGAGACGTGTCTTTCCCCAAAGTGCAGCGGCTCAGTGGGACACGAGTGTGTGCGCGCCACGGACACGGGAGTGCGCTTTGGAATAACGAGCGTGAGAGAGCGTGAAAGATGTGGCGTACGAACATGGCGTACGAACATAGCGACCGGGGCTTGCGTGCGTGTGTGTGTGTGTTTTGGCGATTAAATAAAGTCTGATTCTTGAATGTTTGAAGTGTTATTGCAACAGCACCAACTGTGAGAGCGAGCATCAGGCCAGAGGGAGACTGTTAGCATTAGGTTAGCTTCAAAATGACTGCTCAACACCATAGACCCGCGGTTAGCGCGGCGCTGTAGTTCTGCGCTGGAGAAAATAAAAATCGAATTTTTAAAAAAAGAAATCGCCCTAAATGTAAAACTCGAATTAATGATTAAAATCGATTAATCGCCCAGCCCTAAATTCAACGCAAGCTTACAAAGGGGAGTTTATGTGCATACCCTAAAATGTGTGTATGAGCAAATGTTCATGTCGGTATATTTGTATTATGTATTTTTGTAACTACTGTAAATAACATTATTTGATTACAGTTTAACAGCTTTAAATCTGAGCCTTTGCTCGTACACTATGATGTACCAAAATAACCACGGACGGACAAAAGGCAGAGCTCATGTAATGTGGCACCTGTCTAGGTCTTATCCAGGATTAGAACAGACCAATCATAAGGACCTTTTCTCGTATAGACTTAGGAGGCACTGCTTTGCGAGTATGAATCAAACAAAGCAAAGAAAGTAACTATAGTGTGAATAGAAAAAAAAAAAAAACGTATAGAAATGGATTGTTATTGAGGTCTATTTTCCGTCATTAATACCCTGGATGAATCAGGGCACACGTTCTGAAATTGCCCGTCTCTGGTCTCTATGGAAACAAGCAGCACACCCAAACACTGCACAGGTGTGGGTCTCTTTTATAATGCCGTTTTGCTTTGAAATTCCAGAGAATAAAAAAAAACATTTGTCAGCATCTGCACCGCCCTTTCACATACAGTGAAGTCACTCAGTGGGTTTACAGGTTGTAGTAAACCCTTTATAGCATGATTCACATGATTTACCAAGTTACATGTAGGCTACAAGATATAAAAAAACAAGGGCATGCAGTAAAGTCAAGCAGCGACGGATAAAGTACAGATTCTCATCATGTGACACAAACGTTTCAATTATGTTGCCAGGTTGATAGCAAAAAGTCAGCTCATGTGCATACGCCACACCTCAAGTCTCTTTGAACCTCCTTCCTGGATGAGTACCAGATTCCTGCCTCCGCAATGTTGGGGTGCGTGAAAATCTAGATCCGAGAAAGCAGAGGGTGCAATGTGTGTGTTTGTGTGTTTGCGTGTGTGTTTGTCAAGTAAACATTGTGCCAGTGTTGTCACCAACAATGAGAGTGGAAAGCACATGGCCTTGGAGACAGCAGGGCGGGAGCAGAGAGTGGGGGCCTGATCAGCAACACAAGCTGTGGCACTGACTCACTTCTGCAGCAGGCTGGGCTTCTTAAAGGGCCAGGAGCACTGGTCTGACTGATCTAATCTTGTGACAGTGCAGTTCATATAAACCCTTGTCTTAGCATGCCTTTAAGCTGAAATTAAAAACATGTGGTGTCTGACCAAGAGTAGAAGAAAAGTATTGGTGCCGTTTTGTGTGTTGCATTTATCCATCCATTTTCTACCCTTTAATCCATTTCTGGGTCAGGGGGGTGGCAGTCAGAGATGCCACCCAAGTCTCATAGCACCAGCCCCTCACTGACCCTCTGCAGGTGGTGAGTCCACAGGAGGACGGCTGCTCTCTGACTGTGAGCATAGCCTTGATCTTTCAGTGGGAGCTTTTGGGCAAAGTGGGGTTAAGTGTCTTGCCCAAGGACACAACGACAGCAGTCATCAGTGGGAGTCGGTGAAGAAGGTGCAGAGGTGGGAATTGAACCCACAACCTTCTGGGCTTAAGGCCAATGCTCTACCAACTGAGCTACTGTCGCCCCCATTTTGTGGGGGCGACAGTGTGTTGCATTTAATTAGCCATAATACTCTTCTATGTGTTGCACACACAAGCTTTGCGGTTGTATCTATGCAAGTTTCCAGTGCGGACTTTAATAATAATGCATCGGTTTTATAACGCGCTTTGTTTGGACACTCAAAGACGCTTCACATTTAATTAATTCACTCCATACACGGTGGTGATAAACTAATACTGGGGCACACTGACAGAAGCAAGTGTCTTGCATAAGGACACACAGAAAATTTGGCATTTTACAGCCGCACCACTATGGCACTTTGTGTGCATCTCTTAACACACAGCTAGTTTGAGGCTGGTGAATGAAAACTGATATCAGTGCAGAGCTATTAGAGTGTTACAATTGTGTTACCCTAAATAAAGCGGAGAGACCAACCCTTACTACACCGATGTATATACAACTGGATTTTTGTCAGCCAATAGATAAAATATAACAATCTATCTTCTGGAAATGAAAAGATTCAAATAAAGTGTGTCACTATTATTTCTGTCAAATTAAACATTCTGGGACGGAGCTGGTCCAGCTTGAACTCCACAATATTGACCATACTTTCTTTGAGATTCATTGGCAATTTTACAGAGGTTTTAGAGTGGACATTTTATATCATGTTTTGAAAGGGCTTGCATTTATTCAGAGAAACTAGTCCAGTTCTCTGAGAGGAAGAGTGAGCAGAGTAAACCGAGCCTTGTGTTTACTGATCCATGGTCCCACCCCGCTGCAGCTAAGCCTTTGTAAACGGCTCGTCCTGTTGCAGCGAGAGTACAGGGTCACGTCACGCGGCTCAGGGTAGCCATGTGCTTTCTGCTCATGTGACTGATGGAAGGAGTCGGGTGGGGCAAGAGACTGGAGTGCTGGTTGATAAATGTAAGAAAGAGGGCCCCAGGAATGTTAATGATAACACAAAGATGAGAGTATGTTCAGTATTGCAGAGTTACCTCATTATAATTGACTATTGTTATAATCAGCTGCCACAAAATTAAAAGGCTAGACCAGTTTGTCTGGAACAGTTTGATTTTGACAAGACTGCTAATTTTTCTGTAATTCCTGAGCCCATCAACATGGGTTAGGGTTAAACATTTTTCATCCAACATTTCTATCAAAAATGGCACCAGCCTCCAACTGAAAAGGTACTCTGAACATGAATGCAACCCATTACAAACCATAACGTTTCTCCTGAAATGTTTGTCTTGTATCTATTTGTCAAAGTAATTTATACACATACAGTCACTGTGATGTACATTTTGAAGGTTTAACTTCTAGGGAGGAGAGCTAGGTCAGTCTGCCAGCAGAACACAACACACGGAACACTGTGTTGCTTAATCACGCAGAGGGAGGGGAGGACAGGGTGACAAGCTGCACCCACGCTGTCCTACTTTTTCTCCTCAGAGCCACATTAAACAGGACACCGTGCTCTGTACCAGCTCACAAGACCATAAAAGAAGAGTAATAAGGAAACGTGAAAGTCTCTTCCACCCGTGAAAAACAAAATAATCATAAGTTCATTGATTTAACTATTTCTGAACACAAATGTTTAAAAGCAGACCAATATAAATCTCTGATACACTAAGATTCTCACAATTAACAACCACTCAAACAAATCACACGAGCATTAGGAACAGAAAATAAATTTTCTAATAAACAGAGGAGAAATTTGTAAATTTCTCCTCTGTGAGATAAATAAAGCACATCTTATCTTAAAACATTCATGACATTTAACTATGATTTTCTAAGCATCTTTCATTCAGTTGATTTGAATGTTGAAAAAATAAAAATAAAACATACTTTCTATCAAATTAGATGAAAAGACAGAAAAATAACAGAACAATCTAAATATTGTCTTATTAATACAAAGAAATAAGAAACAAATCTAATCAACACAATTCGTTCGTTATGGTGTGAACACACTTATAGCAGAAATGGGTCTTGAAAAGTGGTGATTTATATGAATCTAATAAATGTATTGACAGATGTGTGTTTGCAGGATAGTTCCTTATAAAAAGGAAATATAAATGTCATCCTACCTGAATGTATCGCAGTGCACTTCTCAGCACACTCAGATTCGAGGTCTTCTTTTCATCCACATTAGGGACATTCTTTCTCAGTGTCTCGAAGCACTCCTTCAAGTGAGCCCGTCTAAAAAGGCATAGAACAAATATTTTGAAAATACAATATAGAACTGACAAGAGCGGTGCCAGGAATAAAATAATTCTTTGAGAAGTGCATTCCAAGTTTGAGAGGTGAAACCGTTTTCTCAGTTTGAGTGAAACATAAATGCCATTGAAGCCACAGACATCGCACGGGTTTCTGCTCATGCTGTAATGAGGCACAATATTATCACAAAACTTGTTATTGCAGCCTTTAAATGCAGGTTTCTCCAGGATTTTTTGCCCCATCGAAGTGAAGAGTAAAGACTGATGATGATGCCCTGCCCTGTACACATGAAGCAGTACAGTCAATATTTTCCATTTACTGTATGTTATTTACTTTCTCAAAAACTGAACTGTATCAAGATTGCAGTTATCTTTTATATGGTGTAGTTTTACATAACAATGTGACTGTCATACCTTTTGTTATCCATTCATTTTTTTCATTATTTTATTATTATTATTTATTTTTAAATCTAATCAAAGTTTAACAGTGTCTGATAGATCTAGATTATTGTTTCTATATTGCCCAAGCCTGGAATCCAGTCTGATATTCCGGCTCATATGCTCCATAGTCCCCCAGGGCTTTCAAAGTGATCAGACTGGGTCCCAGGCTAGTATTGCCCCCAGCCCAAGCACTCACTGGTAAACATTGTATTTACCTGTTCTTCTCAAGTTTGTTGTGGACCTCTCTGGTACCTGCCCTGTAACATAAAACACATTTGTTTTGAATATGAGCATGTATTTATTCTCATAGAGCTCAAAAAGTTCTAAAAAAGACATTTTCCTACCCGCCAGGACGCCTTTTACTGTCCAGATGTTGGGAGTCATCGAGGGGGCAGCTTTGGTTGGGTGATCCGTTCATGATGGGGGCCTGCTGCAGCAAAGTGCCGGGCTGAGGAGGTAGTGCCTGAGACTGTGAGGGAGAAACGATGGAGCCAGGGAAGCGGTGAACCTGAGGGCTCTGCTGCTGAACACTAGTATTAGCCGTTTGAGCAAAGAAGTGCTGTTGATGGTCGTGCAGAAGGGGTTTATGATCAGAACCCAGGGCAGAGGTGGGCTGGTGGGCCAAGAGGGTCTGCTCCTGGTGAAACTCTCTCTTTGTGGAGGGCAGAGGTGCGGCAGGTGGAGGCGAGTGCGTGGCCATAGGTAAAGCTCCATGACTGGGAGTGACCACAGGTAGAGGGTGGACTGGGATAGGCACAGAGGCAACAGAGGCTGGTGGCTTTGGGGGTCGTATCAAAGTTGGACGGCACTCCTGGGATTTTGTTCTATTACTATAGCTGGTAACTTCTCCAGGGGTCTTTGGCTCTTGTAGTAGCTTTTCCTTAAATTCATCTTCTGTCAAAAGAAACACATTAACCATTTGTTACAGTTTTTTCCCAGTGTATACTGTGTGGTAATGGTAATCTACTTCAGGGACTCTGCCACCAATGTGCCTGCACAGGATTTTATTTATTTTTTATAAATCTAAATCAAACTACTGTTAATGTGAAAGAATAAAATAAAAGATGTGTCCCCCTTTTTTCAATCAACTTAAACATTATTGAACTAGCCTAGTCGAGTTTGACTGTACTTTATTTGTGAGTTTGGAGTTCAAACAATTTCCCAAAAAAAATACAGAGGGATTTTACATGGGTTCTGCTTAGAGCTTTTTGCTTTTGTTACAGGTCCCTATATATAATTTCCAGAAACATTTGCAAGATCATTCTACAGTCAAATAGATCAAATCCCCAGACACCAGCTAAAATAACTTCAATATGTACGCAAACGTTGGCTTTTGATCTTTCTCTGAGCAGACTGTTTCCACTTAGAATTAAGAGTAAATGAGTCACCAGAGGCCAAACTTCAGTCCAGCCATTTGTTTGTATCCCAATGTGTTTTCAGACCATTTTAAACAATAAGGACGCGGTTTAGAGGAAAAGGGGGTTGGTGTAGTGCATAGACTAGTGCAGGGTTCAAGAAAGTGGATAACTCCTATTGCTTTCTTTACGAATGTTAGTCTCTGCAACATTGTCAGTGCATGATGAACGTTAAAACAACCAGCGTGTTGTTGTCTATCAAACTGACTTCTTATTTTTAATCGCTGGAACGTCAATTATTAAGACTATACTATTTGGGGGTTGCTGGTGCGTATGCAAACTACTGCGTGTGTGTTCTTTTTTTTTTAAGAGAACCACAGCATTTCGTTAAAACAAATGAGTTTTCTGTGTCCATTATATAACTGCAAATGTAAAGTGCCCTAGTTTCGCCTTCTCTACAGGAGGCGCGGCTCTACGGCTACACGTCAGATTCTGGTGGGCAGTAGGAGCTCTCACTTTGAGCACGTCACAGCGAAGGCGAACAACAGGGACTATTCTTGCCCCACGAGTTAATACAGTAGTCTGAAATAATCACGACTTCAGTAATGAGCATAGAGAGTTTCCCGTCTACTGCTCAATAATAGGGAGTGAAGAATCTTCTTTACAAACAATCTATGTGCGGGGTTGTCCGGAACGCACGTGGTGAAAGGGGCGGGGTTGAGGCTGACGTCACGCAGATACTAACGCGCTAATCTTGTGCACAAATAAATAAATAAACATATACAGACACGTCTCCTGCCACAACACTCCGCATATGCCTCACAGTGTGCACATTTAGCACACAGATCAACACAGCCCACGCCATAACGTGGTCAAATGTCAAGTCCTTATGTAAAAGGCATTCCCCGCGCCACCGCCCTGATCATCATATTCTATATTCTCAAAGTTGAATGCAGCAAAGCAGGGTCCTCTGCCTTTTGTTTTTACTCGCATAGTGGTGCATAGAAGTCGGTTAATGGAACAGCTAAAGGCTTGGTGTGCGAACTGAGCAGACCAGTTCTGAATCAATGTCCAAAACTTCACAACTTGGGCAGAAACAAACATCTTAATGCAGTAATACAAGGGAGGAACCGACCTAAACATGCGCGCACTGACACAACAAAGTACACAATAACAGCATGGAATCCGTTTGTTAAAGCTATGTAATGTATGTACAGTCTCGTAATGCACATGTGGCAGAGAAACAGTCCTTTCTGACCACAGTTCACCTCTGTATCGAATCACTCCTGTTTGAGTATTCAAGTAATCGTATGTGCCACTTACCACGTGCTTTCTGTTGCAGAGCTTGTAATTCTAAAAACTTGGCCGCCTCCAGGAGCGTTTCGATGCTCATCCCGAACTATGTAGATTTTAAAAACGCGAAGAAAAGACAAGCACAAACGCGAACTGCGCCCTAGTATTACAGGGAGAGGTTCCCAGTATGAAATTGGCTAGATGTAATAGGACACCCCCCCAGAGCAAAACTCCACCACTTACGTAGCAGCTACAAGCAAGATGGCGCTTAATGTAGTACTAGCACAGGAGACTAGGAACAGATAGGGTTTATGTTCATGCAGCGTCTGAGAGCTCCACCCTCTCACACTAAACCATGCGCTAAAGGGGACGATGTGAAACAGAACTGGAGCAAGAATACTTGGCAATTTGACAATAATCATTCTTTTTATTGCCATTGTAAAGGGAGGTCACAAACTAGAAAATCGCGACAAATTCAGCTGAGTCTATATCCTAAACCAGGGCCCTCAAACATGTCGCTCAATTTTACTTGCATATTCGCCAGTCGCCACATGCCTAGTAAACAGATTTTATTTTGATCACATATAAAAGGGAAAACAGATGTACAGCTATCCCCACTAAAAAAATAAAAATCTATATATAGATTATATATATATATATATATATAATAATATATATTATATATATATATAATAATATTATTATATATATAATAATAATAATATATATAATATATATAATAATAATATTATATATATATATAATAATAATAAATATATATATAATAATAATATATATATATAAATAATAATATATATATATATAAATAATAATATATATATATATATATATTAGATTTGATATAATTCATCCATGGCCCAGAACGGACCTCTTGGAAACATGTTACTGAAATACAACTATGGACATAAATGCACGTTATTTCCTTCTTCTAGTTGATGCATGTCGAATTTAATCATAAAAGACGTGTGGATAAGTTGTAAATAAACAAAATTCAAGAGTTGAGAGTACATATCACAAGTAACAGTAATATTTCCCTATTTAAAAGGAACTCAGTAATTTAACTTCAAAAGTAAAAGACTGAGTTATTAAAGTTATGTCCAGTTAAGTCCAGTGCTTTTTCCCCTCCGTGTTTCTATCATTCATGTAAGAGGCGGAAACACAAAAATAAAGTGTTATTTGTGTGAGACTATAGATGTTTCTGCTCCTGAAAGACGTGAACCAAAACCAAGATATCACGAACACGTCTGTGTGAGCAGTATAACCCACGCGCAGTAATATTGTAATACAGATATAAAAAATGTACATAATAGTAACTTGTCAGACATATTACAATTTAGTGATTTCCCAGCATTGACTACAAGGTGTTTGAATCAGGAAGAAAATAAAAGTGTGGCCCTCTTGTGGCTTTACAGTGTGTTACAGTCAGGTAAAATGATGAAGTCCTTTGAGTTTCAAGTTTATTACCTGCAAAATTTGCTAGAAAAAACATTAAAAGTCAACTTGAAAAAAAGAATGAAACTAAATGTTGAAAGCTGTCACACTGCGATAGACCTCAGCAGTGTGTTCTTGAGGAACGTGCAGAGTTGGTTCATTAGGTCTTTGTTCTGACCCTCGACCCAGTGCATCTCCACCAGTACATCTTTTTCCTCAAACATCACATTCAGCAAACATTTGAATAAAAACAGTCCGGCTGCACCAGGGCTGCTGGGTTTCTGTAAAAGGGAATCGTTTTCTGTAGCAGCTTCCAGAACTGTGGCGGTCAATCCGGCCTCGGGTTCTTCTCTTGGCACGGTGGGCTGGGTTTGACACGTCGACTCTTGCTCATTTATTGGCGTGTCACTTGTAGAGGGATGTGGTGCTATAGATGCAGCAGCGTTTTGGAGACTTTGTGGTGCTCTTGGAATCTCTCTCAACTGCCGTCTCTGTTCACGTCGTCTTTGACGTCCATGGATCCATGTGTTCTCCACAGCTGTCAATAACAGGCTCTTTTCTTGCTTTCGACAGGGAACTTGTTTAAAGAGAACCTGGGAGAAACAATATGATATTAGATAATATGATACAGTGGGGCTAAAAAGTATTTAGTCAGCCAACGATTGTGCAAGTTCTCCCACTTAAAATAATGACAGAGGTCTGTAATTTTCATCATAGGTACACTTCAACTGAGACAGATTGTGGAAAAAAAAAAATCCAGGAATTCACATTGTAGGATTTTTTAAAGAATTTATTTGTAAATTATGGTGGAAAATAAGTATTTGGTCACTTCAAACAAGGAAGATTTCTGGCTCTCACAGACCTGTAACTTCTTCTTTAAGAAGCTCTTCTGTCCTCCACTCGTTACCTGTATTAATGGCACCTGTTTGAACTCGTTATCTGTATAAAAGACACCTGTCCACAGCCTCAAACAGTCAGACTCCAAACTCCACTATGGCCAAGACCAAAGAGCTGACGAAGGACACCAGGAAAAGAATTGTAGACCTGCACCAGACTGGGAAGATTGACTCTACAATAGGCAAGCAGCGTGGTGTGAACAAATCAACTGTGGGAGCAATTATCAGAAAATGGAAGACATACAAGACCACTGATAATCTCCCTCGATCTGGGGCTTCACGCAAGATCTCATCCCGTGGGGTCAAAATGATCAAGAGAACGGTGATCAAAAATCCCAGAACCACACGGGGGGACCTGGTGAATGACCTGCAGAGAGCTGGGACCAAAGTAACAAAGGTTACCATCAGTAACACACTACGACGACAGGGAATCAAATCCTGCAGTGCCAGACGTGTCCCCCTGCTGAAGCCAGTGCATGTCCAGGTCCGTCTGAAGTTTGCCAGAGAGCACATGGATGATACAGCAGAGGATTGGGAGAATGTCATGTGGTCAGATGAAACCAAAGTAGAACTGTTTGGTATAAACTCAACTCGTTGTGTTTGGAGGAAGAAGAATACTGAGTGGCATCCCAAGAACACCAAACCTACTGTGAAGCATGGGGGTGGAAACGTCATGCTTTGGGGCCGTTTTTCTGCTAAGGGGACAGGACAACTGATCCGTGAATGAATGGGGGCCATGTATCGTGAGATTTTGAGCCAAAACCTCCTTCCATCAGTGAGAGCTTTGAAGATGAAACGTGGCTGGGTCTTCCAGCATGACAATGATCCCAAACACACCGCCCGGGCAACGAAGGAGTGGCTCCGTAAGAAGCATTTGAAAGTCCTGGAGTGGCCTAGCCAGTCTCCAGACCTCAACCCCAGTGAAAATCTGTGGAGGGAGTTGAAAGTCTGTGTTGACCTGTCATTATTTTAAGTGGGAAAACTTGCACAATCTGTGGCATGACTAAATACTTTTTTGCCCCACTGTAATTATATACAAGTCCTTTCACAGTATGCAATGTTGGAGAGTAACGGAATACATGTAACGCTGTTACATGTATTATGTGTGTAGGTGTGTGTAGGTGTGTTCAGGTGTGTGTAGGTGTGTTCAGGTGTGTGTAAAAGGTAAGAAGTTTGTGTAGTGTGTGTCTTTTGAGTGCACGTTCTTGCTTTGCGTTTACTTCACAATTGTTTGTCACAGTCGTCATAATCTTTAGATTTCTTAACATTACCTTAATGTGGTCATGACTAGATAAAATGTGGAAAGGTTTACAGCGTATAAACACTTTTGAAAGTCACTGTGGTTCTCAACCTGAGGGACAGGACCGCCCCATAGGTGAATCCAAAAGGTTGAGAACAATATCCTTGACGCAGTGAACATGATGAAACAGTTGTGCTGATGCTATGACTTACTCGTAGCTCAGTGAGAGACTTTTCCAGAAGAGCAGTGACAGCCTCCACAGGACAACTTCCAGTGCAGCCGAGCGCTGAGGCTTTTGTCTGGAGCGATTTGAGCCCCACCTCTGGAAGCGTGAACGACAGCGGTTTCCGGGCCTTCTCCAGTTTGCGTTTCTTAGTGGGAGGAGACTAAAAGGGAGAACACTTTAGTTGTATGCAAATTGCTTTACAGCAACATAACAGTAAACATAACATGGTAAGTATTTTATCCACGTAACCACCGTTTCAGAGGACGTTCTGAGGTACTACAGCAATAGGACGAACAACTTTTGCACATCTTGTCATGTTTAAGACCAAAGATTATTTTGTGTTTCACAGAAAAGTGGGGCTTGCACAACTATTCACAGTAAATTAGCTTTATCATTGAACAAATGTTTGACCACGACAAACATTTCCATTCTAAACCAGTAGGGGGAGCGATAGACTAATCTAAGCCATTGAGCAGAACTTCAAAATCAACACAGATGCTTAGGTGCTCAAACCATGATTACATTTTGTAATGTAATCATGGTTTGTAACTGACCTTTGGACTGCTACAACAACATACTGCATTTTACACGTCATTGACCTCATGTTCCTATATCACTAAACAGAGAAAACAACTGCTTATGTGTTTTAACTTCCAGTCTGTAGTTGACATTTTACATATTTTGTTCATTCAAAATATTATTGGGTGAATTGTGAGAAATGGTGAATAAATGAATCTGATTCTGAAACTATATTTATTTAATAACTCCAGATTCCTGCTCATGGAGCCTTAACACTTCTTCCGCCAAAATGCAATTTGGAGACAACAGCACAGAGAGTTTGTGCTTATTATATGAGTGATCTTGCAAACAAAAAGACAAACACTGGTGATTACAATACTGCTATTTTTGAGGACCCTCCTGAAAACGAGATGATGCATCTCAAGAGGCTATACCTCGTAATGAAGATATGTCATGGATACACCCAGGTGGAGGTAATGCATGCTGGGAAGAAGAGATCCAATTTAATATGGATGTATGAGCAAAATTTTAAATAAAAGTGACACACATTGGTTCTACACTATCTGCACAAACATGCTGAAACCACCCAGGTTGAGTCAAAACTAATATATTAGAAGATATTCATATTAAAGTCCATGTTTGAAAGACATACAATATGCTCCTGTAGCATATGAGCTGGACTTTGATCTTGTAATATAGGTCACAGCTGCTGTGCATGTCACATATGCCTTCATTGGAACAAAACATTCAAGACCAAATCATAAACTAACGACGTCACACACACACACACATCAATGGACAGAGATGTTTGCCCATGCATACAGTAAAACCACTGCTGTGTAAGCATGTGCACACACAAGACCCACACTCCAGGGTTTGACTGATAATGATGCTGAGCAGTCCTCTGTGCTGGCGGAGGAGGGGTGACGGGTTGGAGCAAATATAGGCCAATTTTTCTGCACAACTGCTTTTAGGTCGACAAGCCAAAAGGGAAAGGTCAATCTAGAATATGAACAATATTTTAAAAAGATGATTGTGTGAAATAATCTGATAATAAAGTGATTCCTCAATGGTTCGGCCACTTAAGTCTTTCACACAAAAATGGACACAATAGTCAATATATTTACGCATGTAACATTCAATATTTTCAAGCCAATCAGAAAGCTAAATTAAGACCACACGAGCCTCTCAGAGTTGCCAGTTCCTTTGGTGCCACTGCGCTGCCCACATCAACAAACGCAACAAAATATACTATAACACAGTATATGAGAACAATGCCCTTTTGTACCAAAGCAGCATATAGCTTAAGACAGGAACGAATTCAAGTTTTGAAATTGTGTTTTAGAGTGAACACTTTACTTGATCACCATAAAAACAAGCGAGACTTACCGGAACCATCACATCGTCATAAAAGCTCCAGGCCAATGCCCATCGCATTGTCCGCCCCTGGCAGAACTCTGTATAGGTCACTTTGGGCACCTGCGGGAGTACACAAAAGGTGACAGCAGGTTTACTTTTAGGACTAGCACAATATTACTGTGGCCAGTGACCACAGAGGCCACAGAGCCACAGAACCCAGCAGTGCTGGAAGCGAGGTCTGCACAAAATAAATACATTTGTGAACGTTGTTAATAAAATATATCAGGAGGAAAGGGCTGGGCGATATGGCAAAAAAAAGGAAAAAGAAATCCGATTTTCAATTTTAAATTGATTGTTTTTTCTATTTAAAAACAAACTAGAATAGACAAAGAAATTGATTTTCCTTTATGCAGTTTAATCTAAATTTCCCCATGGAACATAAGTGTAACAGGATATAGGCCTTAAACATGCTTGTAAAAGAGATGGCCCTGCCATGGTAAACAGCAAAAATGTAGCTTATCAGTTTTCTAATAACTTCACTTGCAGAGACATAATGCACCTGCATGGCAAACGTGGGCCATAGCAAATATATCCATCGTATTAAACACAAGGATTATTTACATTAAATATCACATTTTTAAAACTAATGATTACTCAAAATACAATTGTTATAACAGAAAATCTTTTACAAAAGCCTCCTCCTTGGGTTTTCATGCTTGTTCTTTCAACCATGTCAGAGCAACTGGGCTGTAGTAAAACGCTCGGTCCAGCTGGTGGCGCTAATACTAACTTTAGTGACTACTGCGTTGTGCGAGTTAAGTTTCCGTTTCTCTTCCTGTTTACATTCTGCTACTGTAGCGCTAAAGCCTAGTGTATACTTGCGCGGCGTGGCTTACGTTAGCGGTTGCGGTGGACCTACGTAAGGCGCGTTCCCCTTTCGGAGTTTTGAGGAGAATGTTGTAATCCCACAACTAACCACATGAGGGCGATCACACAGGAGCGGTCCCATTTACGCTGCTACTTTGTCCTCTTCAGAACAACAATAGCAAATGAGCTCATTACATGTGTTTCTACTGCAGGTTTATGTGATAGTTTTATGGATTCATTATTTTATAAGTCATTTCAACTGTGATGCTGTGAATAAAGACACAGTTCTTGTTGGAAACATAGTTATTATTAAATAGTTTTCAGCACAAACAGCAAAACAATAATAGTGGTAAATATCTGAGACAAACATGAACGATTTACGAGTGCAGGAGGAAAGCAACAAACGCAGACAGGAACAGTGCAAAACAAACGACTGCACAGTTTATAAGTTATACATATGTTAGATAGTCCACAGTCTCCTGTATATCAGGCTCTGAGCCCAAACTGCTTTTCCTTCGAAGCACAAAGCTCTGCTTCATAGTCCATTGTCCCTGCTGCAGCCGCTCCGTGCTTCCTTCCAATACACACACACGGACCAATCACAGCGGAGATTCTTTGCGGCGACCCTTACGTAGTTAGAAAATTTCGATGCTGCGCGGCAGGAAACGTAAGGGCCTTGCGGTGACCAACGCGTTGCGCAAGTGACGTCACGTCACCTCTGTAAGGTCCGCGCCGCGCGAGTATAAACTAGGCTTAACAGATTGAGCACGGAACACGTTGTTTGTATCAGAGCAATGAGAGCAATGTGTGAGACGTGTCTCACACATAAGCACATCTTATCTTATCTTATCCCAAACTGCAGCAGCAAAGTGGGACACGTGTGTGTGCGCCAGTGGGGGCGGGTCCCGGCTCAAAAGTGGCCAAAATGACGTGCGCTGACATGCTTGCAATACCACATCAGGCCAATGGGGGTGGACCCGGAATAAGAATTAGTCAATGCTAACATATAGCATCTTCTTACCTCTCGAAAACACCTTTATAGGATAGTCCAAAAGTTCATGTGTGTCAATGCTGAGGGGAGAGAATTTTTTTGGACCCGTCTAGTTTACTCGTTTAAATGAATGGGGCTCGTGCCGGCTGACACATGCGCAGATAGGTTTTTCCTCATTTTCCAGCCACCGCGGCCATTTTGAATCACTCCATGAAAGTCCAACGCCCTTTGGAGTAACGAGCGTGAGCGCTGAGACATGAATTAATGAGAATGAAAGAATGAAAAGTGTGGCATATGAGCAGAGCGACCGGAGCCAGGCAGGATATACGAGTCTGTTGATGTGTTCTGGCGATTCAATAAAGACTGATTCTTAAACGTCTAAAGTGTTAGTGCAAAAGCACCAACTGTGACAGGGTCAGGACAGAGGGAGACTGTTAGCATTAGGGAGCTTTCAAAATGACTTAACACCCGCGGTTAGCGTATTAGCACTGTAGCTCTGCGCTAAAGAAGAAAAAAAAAAAACTGTTTCATTAAAAAGAAATCGCCTTAAACATCAAATTCGACTTAATAATTAAAATCAATTTATCGCCCAGCTCTACAGGAGGACTAATTATATTTTATGGCTGTCAACAAACATTGAAATAGATTTTATAGTCTATAACTCTACTAACCCCTTGTTTCTTCAGCTCCTCTTTCAATGGCGCCAGGCTGCATTTCTTCCCCAACATGCAGCTATACCACCTGAACATAGACACAGTTTAAAGCATGGTTAAAGATGTCAACAAAAGCAAAATGTCCTGAGATGAGAATAATAAAGTAAGTACAAAGCAAAAGGATGAAAAGATTACTAAACTAAAGGACACACATTTGTCCCACAGTGGTGAATCGATCAGTACTGCACTGCAAGAAACATTGTCTATCCCACAGCAAAACAATGTCCTCTAGTCCAACCAGTAAACCACATGGAACCCTTTTAAACACCACAAAATATATACTTTTAAATGTTACAGTGAGCTTTATAATGTGTTCACTGCTTGATGCACAGGGCCTGTGCTCAAGTTCAGGATTATTGAAAAATGGTTAATCTTTACGTCTCTAGTCTGCGTCTGTCAAGTATAGGACAGGTCTGAGCACATGACACCTAAACATTTGATAAACAGGGTCATCACTTATAGAATGTGTATCCCCACATAATCAGAGCAGCAACAGGGACAGAGAAAGCCATCAAAGACCTCAAAAGGTACACTGTAGTTTTTGATACCATCTAGCGTTGAGATCATATATTGCAGTCCTTTGATACTACGGTAGCTTTGTTTGAAGGATATTATGTTGTCTTTGACAGTGGTCCCCAACTACAGGTCATTCGAACCGGGCCACCAAGGATCCAACCAGATCTCTCCATACGTATTAGTCAAATTAAAACAAACAGAAATTAAAACAAATAGAAATATAAACAGTCCGCGTTCTGAAGCTGTGAGAAGAGGTGCGTGGAGGAATAAGACGTCTGTGGGAGCATAAAACCACAATGACTAAAGAATCCAGGGCCAAGGGTCCGTGTATTTTTAGTTCAATGGTTTTTTCAAATTAAAATCAAAAATGAAATTTTGATGAGGAAAAGGAAAAAAATGAAATATTGAATAATGGTTTCGGGTTGATATGGTTTAGTTTTTTTATTTTGGCGCAACCGGATGTTGGCTGTGCACCGTAATTTGTGTCCGGTTGGAGCAGAAAGCAGGCAGGCCTCAAGTGAGTTCAGTCTTAACCTGAAAATGTTAGGAAATAGGCGGAGGCTGCTCTGCACCTGCTGGGTTTGATAGAAAACCTGTAACCACAGCGGCCCTCTAGGAATGAGTTTGACACCCCTAGTTGTTAGATTTCCTTTAGTTAATGTTTTAAAAATGCTACCCAAAGGTACAGCTAAAGTCAGGTCCCATAGGTTGCGCTCAAGTTGTATAGAGTTCTGTTTCAGTTGGAAACCAATATACAGTGCCTTGCAAAGTATTCGGCCCCCTTTTTTTAATTTTTTGTCATGAATCAATAACAAGTGGGACACAATTGTGAAGTGGAACGAAATTTATTGAATGATTTAAACTTTAACAAATAAAAAACGGAAAAGTGGGGCGTGCAATATTATTCGGCCCCTTTAGTTTCAGTGCAGCAAACTCACTCCAGAAGTTCAGTGAGGATCTTTGAATGATCCAATGTTGTCCTAAATGACTGATGATGATAAATAGAATGCACATGTGTGTAATCAAGGCTCCGTATAAATGCACCTGCTCTTTGATAGTCTCAGGGTTCTGTTTAAAGCGCAGAGAGAACCATGAGGACAAAGGAACACACCAGGCAGGTCCGAGATACTGTTGTGGAGAAGTTTAAAGCCGGATTTAGATACAAAAAGATTTCCCAAGCTTTAAACATCTCAAGGAGCACTGTGCAAGCAATTATATTTAAATGGAAAGAGTATCAGACCACTGCAAATCTACCAAGACCCGGCCGTCCCTCCAAACTTTCATCTCAAACAAGGAGAAGACTGATCAGAGATGCAGCCAAGAGGTCCATGATCACTCTGGATGAACTGCAGATAACTACAGCTGAGGTGGGAGAGTCTGTCCATAGGACAACAATCAGTCGTGCACTGCACAAATCTGGCCTTTATGGAAGAGTGGCAAGAAGAAAGCCATTTCTCAAAGATATCCATAAAAAGTCTCGTTTAAAGTTTGCCACAAGCCACCTGGGAGACACACCAAACATGTGGAAGAAGGTGCTCTGGTCAGATGAAACCAAAATCAAACTTTTTGGCCACAATGCAAAACGATATGTTTGGCGTAAAAGCAACACAGCTCATCACCCTGAACACACCATCCCCACCTCAGCTGTAGTTATCTGCAGTTCATCCAGAGTGATCATGGGCCTCTTGGCGGCATCTCTGATCAGTCTTCTCCTTGTTTGAGATGAAAGTTTGGAGGGACGGCCGGGTCTTGGTAGATTTGCAGTGGTCTGATACTCCTTCCATTTCAATATAATTGCTTGCACAGTGCTCCTTGAGATGTTTAAAGCTTGGGAAATCTTTTTGTATCCAAATCCGGCTTTAAACTTCTCCACAACAGTATCTCGGACCTGCCTGGTGTGTTCCTTTGTCTTCATGGTTCTCTCTGCGCTTTAAACAGAACCCTGAGACTATCAAAGAGCAGGTGAAAGAGCATTTATACGGAGACTTGATTACACACAGGTGCATTCTATTTATCATCACCAGTCATTTAGGACAACATTGGATCATTCAAAGATCCTCACTGAACTTCTGGAGTGAGTTTACTGCACTGAAAGTAAAGGGGCCGAATAATATTGCACGCCCCACTTTTCAGTTTTTTATTTGTTAAAGTTTAAATTATCCAACAAATTTCATTCCACTTCACGATTGTGTCCCACTTGTTGTTGATTCATGACAAAAAATTAAAATTTTATATCTTTATGTTTGAAGACTGAAATGTGGCCAAATGTTGAAAGGTTCAAGGGGGCCGAATACTTTCGCAAGGCACTGTACACGTTGCCTAAACTTGGCGTCTCCACCGTACTCTCCGCGGTGTGGAACTGGGTACCATGAGCCGGCGTAGGAAGCGCAAACACCGAGGAAGGCGAGGCGGTCTGCTCGTGAGAAGCCGCTCCTACAGGACCGCTCTGCCTTCTATCTACCTGGCCAACATCCAGTCTCTGCCCAACAAGACGGATGAGCTCCTGTGTCGGATCCAGAGCCAGCGCGAGGCACGAGACTGCGCTGTGTTCTGTATCAGCGAGACGTGGCTCCACTCGAACGTCCCGGACTCTGCTGTTCAGCCCCCGGGATTCACTGCTCACCGCGCGGACAGAGTGAAGGAGACCACGGGAAAAGCCAGAGGTGGAGGTGTGTTCTTTTTAATTAATCAATCAGCGCTGGTGCACGGACACTCGCATTGTGAACCAAACATGTACCGCTAATCTGGAATGCCTGGTCTTGAGCTGTCGCCCTTTTTATCTTCCCCGGGAGTTTTCGGGTATATTTTTATGCGCTGTGTACATCCACCCACGAGCGGTCTATACTGAAGCCCTACAGGATTTGAGCGAGATCCTCCACAAACATGAGTCTGCTCATCCTAACGCAGTCATCATTGTTGCTGGGGATTTCAATAAATGTAAATTAAAAACTATTCTCCCAAACTTTCACCAACATATGACTCAAGCTAGAAGAGGAGCACAAATTCTTGATCACTGCTACAGTAACGTGAAGGGAGCTTACAGGTCCAGTCTCAGACCTCCTTTTGGAAAGTCTGACCACTCCTCTGTTCTCCTTCTTCCCTCATACACTCAGAGGAGCAGGGAACATAAACCAACTTCTCGCACTGTGCAGTGCTGGTCTGAGGAGGCTAACATGAAGCTACAGGGCTGCTTTGATGCCACTGACTGGTCTGTATTTCAGTCAGATGATGTTAATGAATTCTGCGACGCTGTGACTGGATACATTCACTTTTGTATTGACTGCTGTGTCCCACAGAAGGTCATTAAGGATTGCTGTAGTCAGAACCCATGGATGAACGCGGAAGTTAAACTAAAACTTCGTGAGCGTGTAGTTGCTTACAAGTTATCCTGTTACTCAGTGAAACGTTCTATTAAATATGCAAAGCGCAGTTACGGGGACAGGTTAAAGGGTTATTTTGAGGAAGATGACCCTCAACGCATGTGGAACGGTATAAAAGCCATCACATCCTGGAAACCTAGTGCTGGGAAAATTGCTCATTTGGCCAAGCTCTGCCAAATGATCTTAACACGTTCTACTGTCGCTTTGAATCTGCTGATACCTGTCCTGCTGTATTCCCTGATTGTTTCAACCAAGGTGCCTTCACCGTGACTCAGCAGGAAGTCCAATGGGTCTTGTCCAAGATCACAGTCCGGAAAGCCCCAGGCCCGGACGGCATCCCACCTCGTGTCCTAAAACTGTGCTGAGCAACTTGCCCCTGTTTTAACAGACATTTTCAACCTGTCGCTAAGGAACTGTACTGTGCCGAACTGCTTTAAAGAGTCGACCATCATCCCAGTTCCTAAGAAAACTCCTGTGACATGCCTTGATGACTATCGTCCTGTGGCCCTTACGTCTGTTCTTATGGAGACTTTTGAGTGGCTCGTGTTGGACTTTATTAAGAGCCAGATCCCTGTGAGTGTTGACCCGCTCCAGTTTGCTTACAGACAGAACAGGAGCGTTGAGGATGCATCTCCTTTGCTCTGAACTCTGTCAGTCACTTGGACAATAATAAATCTGTTGCAAGAATGCTGTTCATTGATTATAGCTCTGCTTTTAATTGCCTTGTCCCAGGTAAACTGATTGAAAGCTCATGTCTCTCGGTTTAAGTGTTGCCATGTGTAAATGGATTTTTAGCTTTTAAGTGACAGATCTCAGAGTTACAATAGTGAACCAATGGTGAGAGTGTTGGTGCACAGCCATTTTCAGATCTCTCCAGAGATGTTCAATTGGATTCAAGTCTGGGCTCTGGCTGGGCCACTCAAGGACATTCACAGAGTTGTCCTGAAGTCACTTCTTTGTTATCTTGGCTGTATGCTTAGGGTTGTTGTCCTGCTGAAAGATGAACCGTCGCCCCAGTCTGAGGTCTAGAGCGCTTTGGAGCAGGTTTTCATCCAGGATGTCTCTGTACATTGCTGCATTCATCTTTCTATCTTGACTAGTCTCCCTGTTCCTGCCGCTGAAAAACATCCCCACAACATGATGCTACCACCACTATTCTTCACTGTAGGGATTGTATTTGCTTGGTGATGAGCAGTGCCTGGTTTCCTCCAAACATGACGCCTGGCATTCACGCCAAAGAGTTCAATCTTTGTCTCATCAGACCAGTATATCAGGCCCTGCCATGAGCCCAAATTGCTTTTCCTTCGAAGCACAAAGCAGTCTACTCCGAAGTGCCTCGTCCATGTTCCCTGCAGCCGCTCCATGCTTCCCAGAAAGTAATCACACACCAATCACAGTGGAGCTTCTCTGTGGCGCTGGCTGCAAAGTCAGAAATTTTCGAGGGTGCGCGGCAGGTCATGCAAGGGTCTTGAGGGGATGCTTGCGTTGCACAAGTGACGTCACGTCACCACCGTAAGCTCCGCGCCGCGCGACAATACACTAGGCTTAAGATCCCTAATCCGCACTTCTCCACATCACAGAGACAATTTTCCTGATCAGCCTGTCGAGCACGGCACTAGCTACCAGACTGATAAAAAAATGTGCAAAATATTATTAGCTTTCACCACGACGCCGCATCACCACCGGTAAGAAAACTCAAGCTGTTGATAACTGTATTCTGACGATTGTTTTGCAGGGATTCTGGCCTTGCCTGCAAGCTGAATTCTCTCGGTATTTGTGACTTCACAAACACATAAGAATACAATCTTGTACCACTCCCACTTTCACTTTTTGGGTAGAACATCTAGGTGTTTGTCATTGTAATAAGTAGGGCTGGGCGATATAAACTGTATAAGCGGTATGCCCACGGTATAGATTTTTGTTATACCGGCATATTGCAATTGGTCATTATGTCATCAAATTGCGCAGGCTCTGACGCCAGCAGAAAGGACCAAAACAAACCGGCATTCAGCAGCATTAGCCTAGCACTATTAGCCTAGCAGACACCACTGGAAACAACAGCACGGCATTAACACAGTGTTTCTGTCTATGTATTGTTGTCACAGCAGCCCCAGCAGAGGTAAATACACACACAGTAATCACAGTTTAAGCGTCTACCTTTTGGCCAATCAGTGTCAAAGGGGCGTAGGCTCGAAGCGCCAGCGTGAGCCAAAATAGATCCATGCGTGTGCCGTGTCCGCAGCATCACAGCAGAAGTTTGGGAAAGTTAGCGTCAGATTCGGACCTCCGCGGTCAATATCTCACGAAAGCTACTTTGTTAAACAAAATTAATTGTGCCAAAATGATCATTTACATCAATTGTTCAAATCCAATGTGCTGTTTTAATGCACATAAATCCATTGAATCATCCAGTTCACTGCAAGCGCAGAGAAAAGCGCTTAGGGAGCATCAACAAATGGCAAGACCAGCTTTGTAAACGAACAATAGATTTTACTGAAGTCATGTACCTGCACAAAACTCTCAGACACTATAAATAATGACCATGTCTAACTCCTACAGACTTTGATTTCAACATGTGAGTTTTTTATATTTTAAATGAATGCATATGTTTTTCTTTTTAAAAATTGCTTTTACAGTGAATGGTATTTACTCTAACATACATAAATAATGTTACAACATACACAGTACAACATACAAATCTTGACTATTTATGCAAGAACCTGCTAGACCTATATTGAAATTCACACACCAAATTATACCGCAATATATACAGTCTACCGTCTGTGTCCCAAATTATACCGCAATATGAATTTTAGGCCATATCGCCCACCCCTAGTAATAAGTAATCATTTTAATAAGTAATATGTGGCTCATATGTTAAACATCAGGAGGAAGCATGCTTTGAATATGCTTTTGTTGTGTTGGTGCTTCCTTTCTGCATATGAAGATGTGTCTTGTACTATCAAAAGGACCTTGCACTTTCTGCTCTGTCTGTTTTAAAAATCACTTCTCCTTGGAATGAAACCACGTATAAAGAATGCAGGAACAATGCCTTTTGTCTTTGTGATTTTGACAGGATTGACTATAAATTACAGCACTAACAGTGTTCTACCCAATCATGGGCCAGTCTTGAAGTTTAGGTCGGGATATCCGAGTTTGACAAAAGCAGTGCCGAGCTGAGGCAAAACAAACATGGCCACGCAGCAGGACGGATGCGTAGCTGAGGCTATCAAGTCAGTTTAGCAGAATCTCCAATCTCTTTTTTGAAAGATGAACAGCGAGAGGCACTTTGTGCAATTCTGGACAGCAAAGATGTGTTGCGGTTTCTCCAGGCGCACGCCAATGACGACATATTCATTTGTTATCAAGAAAGTCAAACCGTGGTAGGCGGGCAAACAGCGTTACCTCGGCCTATCAGCTTGAAGTATTCTGCTGCCTGCCCCTCCTTTCCCCAAAAGGATTCTCCTGCAGAAGTCCCAGATTGATATTGTGGAGAATTCATTTGAGTCCTACACAATCATCTATCTGGCTTTTGGCAGGTTACATATTGTTCCATGAATAAGTTTTGTTGAAACTTGGACATATAATTGGACTGCACTCAGAACATCCTGAGGCCCATGTTGCAGATTCTGCCTCGTTCTCATTACTGTCGGTGTGAAGAAAGTTACGTATTGTGCACATGTTGTATACAAACTACAGCAATGTGCCTCCTATTTTAACTGCCTTCCGGTGTGTGTGGTTTGCAATGACACGTTTACTTTTATGATGCCAATTTCTAGATTTTGGCATGATTCTTTTTCTGAAATATTCTGGTTTGGGTAGTAGGGCATTGTGGAAGAAATTATTTTTGGAGCACCTGTGAATCAACCGATGTATTTCAAGATGGCGCATTGACATGTTTTTTCATTTGGAGTAACATTTAAAGTACCTTTCATTGTTAAAGTACTCATTGTTACTCTCATTGTATCTCATTGTTAAAGTACCTTTAAATGTTACTTTCATGTGAAGATAGACAATACGTTTCATTTGGGCTTTAGATACGAGCGTAGACCTCCAAGCCAAGCGCTATAGTATAAATTCATATATGGCTAAGCGGGCACTGCCATGTAGAATGAGACGACATGCAAGGGGAGGTGGTACAAAAGCAAGGAGGCGGGGGCGAGTAGTCAAGCACAGCACACAGAAGGCAAACAAGCAAAGCAGCGAAGGTTAAATATAAAATATATATATATATATATATATATGTCAAAGTTTAAAAAAAATATATCTTAATATATATATGGAGTAGGGGTGGGCGATATGGCCTAAAATTCATATCGCGGTATAATTTGGGTCATAGACGGTAGACGGTATATATCGCGGTATAATTTGGTGTGTGAATTTCAATATAGGTCTAGCAGGTTCTTGCATAAAATAGTCAAGATTGTTAATTATTTATATATTAGAATCTAATATATATATTTTTTGAGTTAGAAAATCAGTTGTGAGACGAATAAAGAGACAAATAACATACATTATTTATGTATGTTACAGTAAATACCATTCACTGTAAAAGCAATTTTTAAAAAGAAAAACATATGCATTCATTTAAAATATAAAAAACTCACAAATGTTGAAATCAAAGTCTGTAGGAGTTAGACATGGTCATTATTTATAGTGTCTGAGAGTTTTGTGCAGGTGCATGACTTCAGTAAAAGTTGTTTGTTTACAAAGCTGGTCTTGCCATTTGTTGACGCTCCCTAAGCGCTTTTCTCTGCGCTGGATGATTCAATGGATTTTATGTTCATTAAAACAGGGCATTGGATTTGAACAATTGATGTAAATGGTCATTTAGGCACAAATAATTTTGTTTAACAAAGTAGCTTTCGTGAGATATTGACCGCGGAGGTCTGAATTTGACGCCAACTTTCCCAAACTTCTGCTGTGATGCTGCGGACACGGCACAAGCATGGATCTATTTTGGCTCACGCTGGCGCTTCGAGCCTACGCCCCTTTGACACTGATTGGCCAAAAGGTAGACTCTTAAACTGTGATTACTGTGTGTGTATTTACCTCTGCTGGGGCCGCTGTGACAACAATACATAGACAGAAACACTGTGTTAATGCCGTGCTGTTGTTCGCTGTTTCCAGTGGTGTCCAATAGTGCTAGGCTAATGCTAGGCTAATGTGCTAGGCCAGTGTCTCCCAAACTGAGGGTACTGCAGGGGGGCCGCGGGAGGTCATAAAAAAAAATATATATATATATATATATATAATTATTTAATGTTAAATTTATAATGTTTTGTTTGTAATATTAAAATATTTGTGTTCATTATTTGACTTGAATAATCCACTGTAATCATTTTTGTATTACAATGTTTGTAGCAGAGGCTATTTCCCCAAAATAAAATAACCAGAAGAGCCTATTCTTAATGTTGTCTTCTTGGTTATTATTTTGGGGGGCCACGCAGACCCGTCAGATTTTTAAGGGGGCCTCGGTGTTACTGAGTTTGGGAATGGCTGTGCTAGGCTAATGCTGCTGAATGCCGGTTTGTTTTGGTCCTTTCTGCTGGCGTCAGAGCCTGCGCAATTTAATGACATAATGACCTATCGCAATATGCCGGTATAACAAAAATCTCTACCGTGGGCCAAATTTATACCGTCTACCGCTTATACCGTTTATACCACCCAGCCCTAATATGGAGATATAGCCCATCCCTAAGTTTAATTATATTGTGTAATGCTCACCGTAAGCGCTTCTTAAGCTGCAGACTGTCGTGAATGATTCTCTTGACAAACTCTAGCTCCCCACCCTCTGCCATTATCTCCGTCACCCCTCCAGTGTTGACCGAGCTAGGGGGAGGTCGTCTGGAGTTTCTAGAGTTAACTCCCTGAAGAGACACAAAAAACAATGTCAGACACAGACGACCAGATCTGATCAAAAGCAAATACTTGTTATGGCTGAGGAAAAGAAAATGAATACCAAGGACACCATACCTGTGCTTCCAGCTGGTTTGCAAAAAAAGGGGGGTTGCACATACAGAAGTCATACAGAATCTCTGTCTCCTCTTTCAAAGCATCCATGAGTAAAGTCTTCTGTGGTACCTTTACAACTGTTTACACAAGTTTGTTTCAGCCATGGTCATAAAATTATATCTGGTAAAAGAATAAAGGTGTCACTCACCTTTTATACATTTTGACATATTGTTTTGCTCCACATTTTTCTTTGCATAATTGAAGCAGATGTCATCTACCTCTGTAGCGAGAAAGTACCAACCATTCATTGTGGCTCCTAATAAGGGGTATATGCAAGAGGCCCCAGTACCTAAAGACAACATTATTTATACATTTATTCTGAAGACTGACGAGCAAAGAAATGTGCCATATCAATGCATTTTTGTGTACCAATATCAATGCCACGCCGCAGTTGCTTTTGGCCATCGATAAGGTCCTCCACCCAGTGAATGTAGTTGAGACGTAGTGGCACTGTGGGTATCAGACGCTCTAGGGGAATCTCTATAGTCAAACCAAAGTCTTCTTTAAGCAAGGTGCAGGTCAATGCTCGAACTGCTTCTGGCTCTTTGAAATTCACACTGGATAAAAAAAACAAAAAAAACAAGATCAAACCTTTGCTGTCAGTGTCACCTCCACGTTAAGCAAACAAGCAGGTGCACTGATTTTCTCAATACCAATTTGCTTGGACTGCTGCAGTTTAAGTATAGTGAAAAATAATATTTTCTTAATTTTTCCTTCCAATTGGAAAATCACCATGACAACTATTAATATCGTGGCCTTGTCGGGCATTGTTGTGTAATAGTTTTTAATACCTTAATTGATCAGTTGACCATACCATAGGATAAAAGATTAAAAGGATATGAAAAATTGATTAAGGATATTTAATTTTATAAAATTGTACAATGTCAGATAATACAATGGCATTTTACATGGGCAAAATATTCTATATCTCAGACAGCTTTCAACAAGATAGGTTGGGGACAGAAACACTAACTCATTGCAAACAGGTGTTGCACAAATATACAGTTGTTCTCAATCTTAGAAATGTGTGTACGTATGATGAACACATTAGCCTAATGGACCAAATGAAAAGCAATGACCTCCTGAAGAAGGGTTTACACCTGCGCCCTTGAGAACAAATGCAACAAAATGTACCCATGGAGGAACTACTGTCAGCTAATTTGCCCTATCCCAGTTGTCCTCGGAGGCATCATTAGAAAAACATCAATATTTGTAGGCTGCAGTGGCTAAACTATTTTAAGCAACATGATCACAGACACATCCACTATCAGCTGGCCTGACATCTCCATGGCAACACCATCTACTGAACGGCGAGTGGAGCACGCAAATCTGGCCACGCTGGAGCAATGGCTGAAGCTGGAGTGAGCGTGAGAGTGCCCGCGGTGCTACGCACACGGTGCCACGTGGGTGCAGTCCTACGTATGATCCTTTTGGTGATGTCAGACTCAAAATGAGGAACAGGGTTTTTAAATTAGGATAAATAACTAAGCACAGTGAGAAGTCGGCCAACAAAAGAGTGAAATACATAGCTCAGTAGCTATGTACAATAGCTCAAGGGTTAGTCTAGCTAGTTAGTCTAGTGAGTTAGTCTAACCTCTGATACACCCTCACCATGAACGGTTCCGTTTACACTGCATATTCCGCCTCCAGAGGGGCATGACCCTCTCACCATTCACCTGGTGTGCATGCTGATCACAGCAAACCTTTTCTCATGTTAGGATATTCAACCACTGGGAACATTTTCATTTCTCCTCGAAAAACTACAGTAGATAGATAACACACATGTGGGCTCCATTTAATCCTTAGGGCAAGTGTGAACATTCAGCAGTCAGCTGTACTTGTTCACACCCTACTTTTCACATTTATATGCAATACATGGCTCACAATAAAATATTACTATGAAAAACCTTGACATTAAAGTGATAGTATGTAACTAAATGAATTACAAATTTTAAGAATTGTATTAAATTGAACTCCTTGCCTTAAATGTTGATATATAATAAGTCATTTTATTAATTCTAATATTATGGGTAAGTCCCACCTTACCTTTTCTTAGCTATAGTTCAGATTCCACGATGCCGTCCATGTTAACCAATAGTCATGCCAAGGGCTGTCAATCATCGCACTGATGCTCGTAGCTGCGCAGCCCCTTGAACTTTTCGCCACATTTCAGGCTTCAAACATAAAGATATGAAAATATTTTTTTTTGTCAAGAATCAACAAGTGGGACACAATCGTGAAGTGGAACGAAATTTATTGGATAATTTAAAAAATTTTAACAAATAAAAAACTGAAAAGTGGGGCGTGCAATATTATTCGGCCCCATTGCGCTAATACTTTGATGCGCCACCTTATGCTGCAATTACAGCTGCAAGTCGCTTGGGGTATGTCTATCAGTTTTGCACATCGAGAGACTAGAATTCTTGCCCAAAACAGCTCGAGCTCAGTGAGGTTGGATGGAGAGCGTTTGTGAACAGCAGTCTTCAGCTCTTCCACAGATTCTCGATTGGATTCGGGTCTGGACTTTGACTTGGCCATTCTAACACCTGGATACGTCTATTTGTGAACCATTCCATTGTAGATTTGGCTTTATGTTTTGGATCATTGTCCTGTTGGAAGATAAATCTCCGTCCCAGTCTCAGGTCTTTTGCAGACTCCAACAGGTTTTCTTCCAGAATGGTCCTGTATTTGGCTCCATCCATCTTCCCATCAATTTTAGCCATCTTCCCTGTCCCTGCTGAAGAAAAGCAGGCCCAAAGCATGATGCTGCCACCACCATGTTTGACAGTGGGGATGGTGTGTTCAGGGTGATGAGCTGTGTTGCTTTTACACCAAACATATCGTTTTGCATTGTGGCCAAAAAGTTCGATTTTGGTTTCATCTGAGCAGAGCACCTTCTTCCACATGTTTGGTGGGTCTCCCAGGTGGCTTGTGGCAAACTTTAAACAAGACTTTTTATGGATATCTTTGAGAAATGGCTTTCTTCTTGCCACTCTTCCATAAAGGCCAGATTTGTGCAGTGCACGACTGATTGTTGTTCTATGGACAGACTCTCCCACCTCAGCTGTAGTTATCTGCAGTTCATCCAGAGTGATCATGGGCCTCTTGGCGGCATCTCTGATCAGTCTTCTCCTTGTTTGAGATGAAAGTTTGGAGGGACGGCCGGGTCTTGGTAGATTTGCAGTGGTCTGATACTCCTTCCATTTCAATATAATTGCATGCACAGTGCTCCTTGAGATGTTTAAAGCTTGGGAACTCTTTGTATCCAAATCCGGCTTTAAACTTCTCCACAACAGTATCTCGGACCTGCCTGGTGTGTTCCTTTGTCTTCATGGTTCTCTCTGCGCTTTAATCAGAACCCTGAGTCTATCAAAGAGCAGGTGCATTTATACGGAGACTTGATTACACACAGGTGCATTCTATTTATCATCATCAGTCATTTAGGACAACATTGGATCATTCAAAGATCCTCACTGAACTTCTGGAGTGAGTTTGCTGCACTGAAAGTAAAGAGGCCGAATAATATTGCACGCCCCACTTTTCAGTCTTTTATTTGTTAAAAAAGTTTAAATTATCCAATAAATTTCGTTCCAGTTCACGATTGTGTCCCACTTGTTGATTCATGACAAAAAATTAAAATTTTATATCTTTATGTTTGAAGCCTGAAATGTGGCGACATATTGAAAGGATCAAGGGTGCCAAATACTTTCGCAAGGCACTGTATATACTGAACCTATATCCATTCTCAGATCCCCTGCAGATGTGTCCTATAATGCAATTCATGATAATAGCTTCTTTCGGGTTTGCCGTGATCGCTTTTTTGTGTGCATTAAAACATTTTTTTCATTAAAACGTTCACAAATAATTCTGAAAACCTCCGTGCATGTGTATTAATAATATATGTGTATAATGTGTTCTCAGATTAACATTTAAATGTGTTACGGAAACGTAGGCACAGACCAATCAGAATGGAAGGGGGAGGGAGCTTGCGTCGTTTTTTTTCAAATCAAGTACCTCTCTCTCTTGTTTTCTGAAAAACTGCAGACAATCACTTTAAGCTTTGTCAACCACTTGCCCTTCGGGAAAGTACCATTTATATTTTACTTGCCCAATGTCAAATGTTACTTGTCCAAATATTTATCAATACAATGAGTTAACAAAAGTTTTGCAAGAAAGTGGCACCAACTGTGTGGAAAAAATATAAAAAAATCCACTCTTATCCCAAAAAGTCAAATAATGACTCACAGGTCTCAAGTTTGCAAAATAAAAAAAACAAGAAGCTTGATGTGGTGCGTTCCATTTGATTTATCCACAACATTTTAATTCTGTGCCCAACCTACATGCATTGTTAATGTACGCGGAAATTTAGGTACTCAAGCTTTAATTTTGTGAATTTTGGTTGTGCTTCGGTAGGAGATATGGGGGACACACGCACTTGCAACAAGCTGGGTATGGTGAGAACGGAGGATGTGAATTCCGTTTGAGTACGTAGCTAACAGCAGCAAGCGCACGTGGTCGAAGTGGGAAAAAAGTTGGCAATCACGGAACCGCGAACAAATTTAATCCCTGGTTTATCCATAGACTATATATATATTAACGGACGTAGTCACGCCTATCTCCGCCATAATGGACCAAAAATTGGGCTTTCATGGAGTGATTAAAAATGGCCGCGGGGGCTGGAAAATGTGAAGTAAAAAAAAACGTATCTGCGCATGCGTCAGCCGGCACGAGCCTCATTCATTTAAATGAGTGACTTGACGGGTAATCTTCTACAGTTCCTTAAAAAGGAGCTATACCCGTTTCTGCAATGTTTGAACGTTTAGCACCGCCCCCCCAACTCGCTCACAGGCTTCTCATTTCCCCTACGCTCTCATCCCACGGAGCCACGAAGTTTTATTTGCGATCTGATACGTATGCTAGCATTAGCTCAACTTCTTGTAAGCTGTAGAACAATCACTGATGAAATAGTACAAAAGCAATGCACTGCTAACACAATATATAAGTAAAAGAATACCGCTAGTTTCGCGTCCGAATGTATTAATTTAAAGTGGTTCTCACCCCCGCTCCTCGGAGCTTACGTCACTCACATTTCCTGTTCAAATCTTCCTCTAAATGGGCGTAGCCTGGAGGACTAAAGGGGGCGTGAACGAGACTGGGCCGTTTATATAGCTCTGGGCGGGGGGCTGCTTACGTCAGGTCTTGCTTCAGACGTCAGGTCTTGCTGCCGCGCCAGTGTTGGCGCCAGATTCAAAATTCAAATGTAGTAATACAGGTCGCCAGCAGATGGTGCCTCACAGACGGTTTTAGGCAGAAAGTTTAACTTTCAACTAATTTGCACCAAAGTGACAAAATTATGACCAGGATATGTAGACAACACTATTGGACACTCATTTATACCGTTTATCAGCAAAAAAAAGTGGATTTGAGGGTGAGTTGTCCTTTAAACATTAGAATATATTCTAATATTTAATTATAATTTATTATACAGCTCCTCACAGCAGCAGAACACTCCATTGACTTGAATGCAATTCTTCCCATCATTTTTTCTTGATAACAG